AAACCTATTCTTAGAGAGCAGAGACAGTCAGTAGTGGAGACAGCCAACCTCCAGCAGCAGTGGGGGCACTTAGAGAGGGCAGCTGGCCAAGGCTTTACCTCCAGCTGGAGGACAGGACAGGCTAAAAGCAGGCTGTACTCAGTTCAGGACCATACTTCCTCCTTCTACATTTGGTCACTGTATTAGAAATAACAGCAATATTTATTTATTATTATTATTCTTGTTATTTTTTAATCATTTTATTTACTTATTTTTGCAGTTTTGGCCGGGGGCCGGGCTTGAACCTATCACCCCTGGCATATGGGGCTAGTGCCCTACTCCTTGAGCCATAGGCGCCACCCCAGCAACATCTATTGAGTGCTCACTTTATGCATCTCGTCATTTAATCTTCCAGACTACCCTATAAGGTATGTGTATCACAACGCCTACTTTACAGATTAGGAAACAGAGGCACAGAAAGGTTGAGTTACTCATCCAAGGAAATGGTGAGGACAGAGCTTGAGGCCAGGCACTCTGGCCTTAACCACCATGCATACTGCCTCTTACCTGCTGCACCACAAGCCCCACAGTAGCAGACCTAAAACAGGCATTTGAGTGCAAGCACTTCATATGGGAAGTGGCTGCAGGAGGGGGAGAGGCATGAGGAAGGCAGACGGAGGAAGGGAGACAGGGGAAGGGGTTATCAAGCAAGATGCCATTGTGGGCAGTCAGAGCTCAGTACCAGGGAGCTCTGGGAGCCAGTGCAGGGCACATACCTGGGGTCATCCCATTTTGGGCTGTGGGCTCTGGGATGGGATATTTATCAGCCATTGGTTAAGGGCTTTTCTAGGGATGTGTTAATCCCCCAGCACCTGAGGCCAATGCAGGGTAGCAGGACAAGCACTGGTAACAAGAGTTCTCAGGCAGAAAGACACACGAGTGGCAACTGGAGAAGTTGGCTGGTGTGCACTGATGTGGTAAGTTAGAGTGGATGTAGGCAGGGTATCTCATCATCTGCTATAAAACCCTTCTAACTTCCACAGAGTAAGTTAAAAGGATCTTCAAAATCACCTACTCCCATCTTGCAGTAAAAGGTTGTGGCTGAGACTTTAAATCTTTTGTATTAACCTGGATGGAACTGAAGTACATTCTTTTTAGTGAAGTATCACAAGAATGGAAAAGCAAATATCCCATGTACTCCATACTAATATGAAGCCAGTAGATGATCTAATACACACCCACATAAAAGAAAAACTCAACTCAAGTTGGGGTGAGGGAGAATGAGGGATGGGGGTGGGGATTGGTATGCTCTCACTTAATGGGCACAATGTAAGGGTACTGGCACATCTTTTGGGTGTGTGACACAACCATAAGAGGGACTCTACCTAACATATGCAAATATTGTAACCTAGTTATTTATACCCTCTTATTAAACTGAAGGAAAAAAAAAAGGGTTATGGTTGAGAACAATGCTTGTAGAGTCAGACATAATCCCACCTCAATTACAGCTCTGTGACTCATTTGTCATGTGAGATAATAATGATTAGCAGAGAGAAACGCAGATTCTCAGACCCCATTCTAGGCCCACTGAATCAGAATCTGAATTTTATTTGGATAAGATCTCCAG